TCTCTTCCTGTTTTAAAAGCCACTTCTTTCTCCAGAAAGCACACCAGTGTCTGGGCGCCTTCTCCAGAGTCTCACTCAGGTGCTGCTGCTCCTGCATCCTCTTCTGGGGAGGCTGTGTGACCGCCTGGCACCTGTAAGGGGACCTGCAGGTGTCGGCTTTACCTGAGGGTTCAGGTTAACATAACACACAGCCCTTGGAACGGCTTTCCAAGTGTTGTCTGTGCGTGCACTCAACGGGGAGCTGAGTCTCTAGTGAACTATAAGAACAGAGCTAAACACCCTTGCCTGTCTGAGAAGGGAGCAAAGGGGAGAGCTAAGAAGCAGTCCAGGACACCGCTGTCTCAAGGCAACGAGGGCTAAGAGGCTGCCACCGGGCTGCTGAAGGCAAGCGAGGAGACAGGTATCTGTGCGCCTGTTTCCAGACTTCTGCTCCACAGCCTAGGGCTCTCGAGCCAGACACAGGCTCAGTCACTCAAATAAAAATGGGCCCGCTCTCCTCAAAATCCCTCCCACACAGAATGATAAACCACGCCACCATATCTTTAGCAAAGAAAGCCATAGGTTTTTTTCTTCATGCACAAGCACATGAGACAATTAAAAACAAGGTCCCTTGCAAAAGCACAAATAATAGGTGATGTACAGAAAGCTTCTCTCTCCTGCCTCTCCTGTGGGGCTTCTCAGACAGTGAAATGCTGTTTCAATTGTTTTCACAAATCGTGCCATTGCTTTCCTTCCTTGGAAATTTCTCTGTGCTAACTCCAATATGTTAAAATGTGTGAACATGTGCTTCAATTTAAACAAAACAAACCGAATCTCACCTCTTATTTTGTTTAGCATTGACAAATGCTAGTGAAAGAATCTAAACCACCTATGAGAACCCATGAATGACAAAACTCAGAACGTTTTCTTCCAAAATCCTAGGGGCTTTCCTGTGTTTGACTTGGTTTTCTGAGACACAGGCTCTAGTGGTCCAGGCAGGCCTTCTGATCCCCCTGCCTCATACCCTACTTGGTAGATTGTGGCCACGGGTCAACATGCACAGCAGCAAAATCTGCCTTTGTTGGACTCCCACAGTCATCTCACTCCCCATCCATCACTAACGATTTGCATATTCATGTGCAAACGTGGGGACAACTGGGACTGTCTCCTTCTAGTCAATTATTAGGTACAAAGGACACTGGCAGTGAGAGAAGGGCAACAGGGCAAACGGGAAGCTGGCATCCATATGCAGCCTTCAGAAACCACAGCTACCCTGACTTTCCAGCCTCAGGAGACCAGAAACATCACTCGGAACAAGAAGGCATCCATGAGATTGTATTCACGCTATCAGTTCATAGGAAATGGGCTGTGTGAATGTTTAGTTACTTGAAGCCACATATCTGTTCGGCAGTGGAGTTAGAAACAGAATCTGTATCTTTTGTTTCTGAACACAGTGTCACCTTTTTATCATAAAACTTCTCTATTTGTATAGTCATCAAACTGTAAACCACTCAAGTGACAATCCTAAGCTAGTGCTATGGTCTATGTTATTTTCTTTTCACCCCTATGTTGAATCCCATGATGACCTGGAGACAAGGCCCCCACCCCCCAAATCTTTGGTGCTGATGTCTGGTCCTCAGCTGAAGGCTCTGATGGCTGTAACCAGTCATGGTGACTCTGATTCAATCAGTGTGCTGATTGTCAATGGGTCCATGGCATTTTCAGAAGGCAAGGGAAGCGCGTCATCTCACCGGGACCCCCCTTGCTTCTCTCTGCTCCCAGGCACTATGAAGTGAGCAGCCTCACTCTGCCATACATTGCTGTCATGGCACTCTGCCCCATGGCTAAAGACTGCCCAGCAGAACCTCCGCAACGTGAGCCTAGAGCTCGCCTGTTTGGAAAGGGCTGCTCTCATGTGACAGCCACGGGAGTCTGAGTAGCTTAGTAAAACTTTGTCCCCACAGGAAAGGTGAGCAGGCCAGGAGGGTGGGGTCCTCGAGGAAGGCCAGTGTCATTATAACAGGGGCTTCAGCAAGATTTGTTCATACCTTCTGGCATGGAAAGGTACAGCTGTTTTACAATAACACAATTTCTGACCTTGAGTCTGCTGACCTTTGCCACAGACGTGTTCATTGTCCAATACAATAAGAAATGACTTCAGCGCTGCATCAAGTAACAGCATGAAGGCTCCAGGTGAGACTGGAAACCCCATTGTGTATGTCATGTCTCTAAGTTGTTTCTTTTTCCCCCTGTTTTTGAGATAAGGTCTTTTAGCTCAGGCTAGCCAAAGTTCACTGCACTGCAGAGGCTAACCGTGAGCTTCTCCCCTCCAGCCTCTACTTCCTGAGCACTGGGATTATAGGGACGTTCTATCAAGCCTTGCCTATTTCCCATTTCTTTGCTGAATGTCAAGTTGCTGGGCATTGGCTATTTGAATTGTGGGTAAACACGGTTAGTTGTATTTAAAGGAGAAGAGGGGAAAACAGTTTATTCAACAAGGCAGGGGCAGGGGAGGAGAAAAGGTTCTGAGGCAATGCTGTAGAGAAATGTTGAAGGATTCCCACTCCACCCCCCACTGATTCTATTTTAGACATTTGGAAGCCACCGATGGTGATAACTGCCATTAAGTCACTTAGGCTGACACTGCAGTGGATGAGCATTAGGGACAAATTAACCTCTCCAGAGACCAAGGTGTGGTGATATATTACTTATGATTTGTTAAAGCTTGCCTGAGGAGTCAGAAAAGCAAAGCAGCCAGCCATGGCTGGAGAATGAATGTCTGATCTGACTACTGAAGACCCTGCTCCTGTCTTTACAACCCTCTAGTGCTGGATTAAAGGGTGTGATCCAGGTGCGAGATCGTCTTTGTGTGAGCTGTTTCTCTTTAGGACTGGATCGAACTTGTGTAGATCTGGGTGACCTTGGACTCACAGAGATCTATCTGTCTACCTCTCAATCCTGAGTCCTAGGATTAAAGTGTGTAACCTCACCTCCTAGCTTCTGGCTGCTGGGATTAAAGCGTGCCTGGCTTCTATGGCTTGTGGCTGACTTTGTTTTCTGAATCGGCAGGCAAGCTTTAATAAACCATAAATAATCTACCACTATACCAAGGTGTTCCTAACTAACAGCCTGCCCCTTCCTAACACTGGGATGGTGGATTTAAAATGCAAGAAAGCAAAGGCCGAGACAGCATGGAAGAGGCCAGATGCTGCCGCCAATGAGGGTCTTAGTGAGGGGTGGTTACCTCACAGTACTAAATGCTGACACTTTCCATTCTGGATCCTTCTCTTGCGATGTAACAGCTTTCTTCTGAGTAGTAATATCTTCTCCTATTTTTTCTTGTCTTGATTTAGTTAAATCAGTCGAGCATGAGCGACAGAGGAGGAAGCAGTGGCCTCCTGGTTTACAGCATACCGTGCCTCTCTGTTTATCCACAAACACCCGGTCTCCAGCAGACCTGCCTCCCTGCTCGGACAGGCCAAGGCCAAGAAGAACTCATGCCGCGAGTTACACAGGCGTTGTTTAGCTTCTCAGAGCTTTCAAAGACATTCTGAAAAAGTTTTTCTCCCAAGAAAAAAGGCCTTAAGAACCCCTTAACAAGGTGCGAGAGACTGGTAAGATCCAAATTTGTCTATGCAGCATTAGAAGCATTAATCAGTCATAGGAATTCTAAGGACCTCATGATCAAATATCATATCCTTTATTATTAGAACAACCCAATGGAATATTAGCTCAATTTTATGAATTGCATACCGAGGTTCTAAGAGATTAATATTCTAACGATCACGTCAGCACTAAGCCTGGAAACTTGGACCCTTGAAGTCTCGCGCCTGTGTTTACTCCCTGCTCACTGGTTAGTTCAGCACTGAAGGATTTGTCTCCAAAGGCCAAGCACGTGCACATGTCTGAACATGCCACAGGCCTATCTGATACACAAGGCTCTGAGTTCATACTGTGCTGAGAAACCCAGAGTCTTGTGCATGACAGGCTTGCTGATTAGTTTGTCACCTGGAAAAAAGGAAACCTTAACTGAGGAACCACCTCCTCCATATTGGCCCGAGGAATGTTTGTGATACGATTTTTTTAGATTTATGGCTGCTGTAGGAGGTGTTACCACCCCCAACAAGATCCTGAGTTGTGTAAGGAAGCTGGGCGAGCAAGCCACGGGGATCAAGCCAGAAGCAGCATCCTTCCACGGTCTCTGCTTCAGTCCCTGCCCTGAGTTTCTGCCTAGGCACCCCTCAGTGATGGACTGCCACCCAGGAGTGTAAAATGAAACGCACCCTTTCCTTCCCTGGTTGTTTCTGGTCTGTATGCTATCACACTTTACTAACTGGACCACACCCCTGCCTTAAATTTCATTTTACTAACAGTTTCAGTGAGTCTAAATAATGTTTCACTCTTTCCATAAAATTGATTTTAGCTAACAGACTATACAACAGATGAAAACGTCATGATGAGGGAATCTGTCCATGGCTTCACTTTTAAGTTATACTTGAGGGGATGTAAGGTATGCTGTCAACCAAATGTCTGTTGTGGAATCAGAGAACAGATGTCATTTGAGTTGCTGAAGAAAAAAAGGACCAATCCAAGGGGTTAAACAAGTACCATTTGAGGGACTACAATTTCTGATATAAAAGAGAAATTTCCCAAATCAAATAGAGCTGTCCGATTACTGGTTTTCATCTGGCATTCGAAACCGAAGTGACGGCAGAAGATTAGAGCAATGGCAGCACAGAGGATAAAGAGCCAGAGACACTCCATTTGCAGCAGGCAACGCTTACAGGGACTTGATATGAAGAGAGCATCACCCGGAATAGTTCTGACACAAAAACTGGTATAACATCAAGTCCAATTTGCCCTTAATCACCCACTTCAGAAAAAGGGCCAGATTTAGCCAAGGTCCAGGAGTTACGTGGTGGGGGTGGTGGGGGTGGTGGTGGTGGTGGTGGTGGTGTGTGTGTGTGTGTATGTGTATGTGTGTGTGTGTGTGTGTGTGTGTGTGTTAATAACAAACATACCTGCTTCATCATAGGATACCGTCAACTTTTCCAGCATTTCTCTGTCAATGGACAAGATCTGCTGCTCAAGGATGGTCTGGTAAGACAGAACACTGTTTTCTTTGTCCTTCTCATAATCCTGGAGATGCTGTTTAAGGGCCTCCGGGAGTCGAGATTTTACATATTCCGCTGCAGTCTGTAGGTAAACAAAACTCCGTTAGCACTTCTTATCTTAGGCTTTTTATTTACCCTTAGGTGTTACAGAGAGAACTCAGAGCACTGCAGATCCAACCTCCAGACATACATGTGCTTGTCATGGCTCAAACATCACGACTGGTCTCCACCCACCAATGCTCAGAAGAACTCTTGTGGAGTAGAAAGGGACATCTTCTAGGACTGATGATGACGTATTGGGATATATAAAAAGAGGGATCTAGGCTGGCGACGTAACACAGTGGTGGAGTGCTTGCTCTCTAGGTTTTAGGACCAATCCCCACAATAAGTGACTAACCAAACAAAAACGTAAAAGCTTACTTAGAAAATAAAGAGATCAGAGAAATAAGACAACCCTTTGCTACTTAACTGCTGTAACCTTTTTTGTTGTTGCTTTGCTTTTTGAGACAAGATTTCTCTGTATAACAGCCCTAGCTGTCCTGGAACTCGCTCGGTAGACCAGGCTTGGCCTTGAACTCACAGAGATCCACCTGCCTCTGCCTCCGGAGTGCTGGGATTAAAGGTGAGTGCCACTACCATCTGGCATTGTTGCAACCTTTATATGCGCTATTATTATTGTCAATTTGTTTCTTTTGTCTGTTTGCTTCTGTATCTGCTGCCTAATGCATTCCCCACTATAACATCTTGAATTATATGCAGAGAGTCTCAACAAGCTAGGGACACCCCACCTGGGGACCGGAAGGAAGACATTCTTTGAAGAAGGTCTTCTGGAAGATTCTGATGGGTTCTCTTGGTAGAATGGGTGATTGAACACTCTTTCTCCCTCCCGGCTGAGAATCAGTATGGTGGTTAAACCTTACTTTATGGAGACATTAATGGCACAGTGATTTGTATGAATCAGAGGAAGTCTGTAATTGCTAATTGTCTCTCTGTAGAGTGTCAAGTCCAACATCTCCTTATATTTCACTCCTGTTTCGTGCACAGTGTCTCAAGCTAGTAATCCAATAAATGAAGGTCAAAATTAGGATGTGTTCGGTAGTTCACACCTAAAAATTCATTACAAGGTCATCCAGTCTATAGCAATGAGTTCAAGGTCAGTCCAGGGTATATGAAACTGACTCAAAGCCAAACATATATACCAAAAAAAAAAAAATATCTGTAGCCACTAAGGAATTTCAAGGATCCTGCTAGTGATGATCAATCTGGTTTGGGCCAAGAATAAAGCAGAGACCTGTCTACAGACTTTATGTCTAAGTCCTGTACAACTACTAATTGTGAAATATTTTAAGGTATGAGCTAAAAATAAATGAAAATTCTTCATGCTCATGGACCAAAAGAATATTATTATTAGCCAAACTGATCCACAGATTCAACACAATGCCTGCCCACAGTGATCTATTTATTCAGTGGAGCCCTTACCCCAAAGTACCAAAGACATTTCTCACAGCCATAAAAAAAATCCTGAATTTCATATGAAACACAATTTTAAATATATAACATTAAGAAGTTGATTTCTGCATTGTTGGAGCCTGAGGGGTCAAGAACACCACAAGAAAACTCACAGACTCAACTAACCTAGGCTCATAGGGGCTCCCAGGGACTGAACTGACAACCAGGGAGCCTACATGGGAGTGACCTAGGCCCCCTGCATATATATTACAGTTGTATAGCTTGGTCCTCTAATGGGATTCCTAACAGTGGGAACATGCGCTGTCTCTGACTCTTTTACCAGCTTTTGGGACCCTACTCCTCATTCTAGGTCTCCTTTCTCAGCCTTAATCCATGGGGAGGTGCTTAGTCTTACTGCAACTTGATATCCATGTTTTGTTGATACCATGGGAGACCTGCCCTTTCCTGAACAGAAACAGGAGTGGATTGGGGGTAGGAAAAAAAGGGGTATGAGGGAGAGGGACTGGGAGAGGAAACTGCAGTCAGGGTGAAAAATAAAATAAAGAAAAAAGGAAAAACAAGTTGGTTTTCTAGAGCTAGAGTGCAGGGTGGCTATCAGGGGCTGGGGAGTGGAGGCTGGAGTGGGAGATCCGGTTTTTAAAGAGTATCTTTTCATTAGACTGGAGGACTAAGTCTCAATAGTTTAATAAAAAGGGGTAACCATAACCAGTAGCGACACATTACACTCTGAAAAGTACAGAGCATGGCTACTGTGTGTGACATGACCATCTACAGAAAGATAACCATGTGAGGTCATTTGGTTCATCTGCTTTGTTTTGAGACAGGGTCTTCCTCTGTAGCTCTGGCTGGCCTGGAACTTGTGCAGACAAGGTCGGCCCTAAACTCATGGCGCTCTCCCTGCCTCTGCCTCCCAAGCCCTGGACCAAAGGTGTGTGCCGCCACTCCCAGTTGGTAATGCGATTTCGTTAGTTAGGCTGAAGCATTCCATAGTGAATATAATGTCTGTCAATTGAAAGGAAAAGCAAAGTATGTGTACTTTAAAATATAAGCACACACCTATATATGTCTCCTGTGAATCAACTGAAGGTCAGGGAGCTTCTTCATTTACAGAATACAATGGTTTACATTCTTTAGAAAATGCAAAACAGGTGCTATGTATTGGCCAGGAGGAAATCATGAAGAGCTGACGTGCTGAAAAGCAAAGCTGCTGAGCACCAGATAAGGCACGCCCCCTTCCGGGTAAGGCACGCCCCCTTCCGGGCAAGGCACGCCCCTTCCAGGTAAGGCACGCCCCCTCCCGGGTAAGGCACGCCCCTTCCAGGTAAGGCACGCCCCCTCCCGGGTAAGGCACGCCCCTTCCAGGTAAGGCACGCCCATGTACACGTAAGTGTGAGGAGGCACGGAGATGCTCTCCCACTGCAGAAGGCGCCATTACTGTGGATTTCAGGAATGTGCTCACGGTTTTACCGCTGTCGTTTAAAATGCATTTCCTTGTAACCTTCATAGCTTTCCTCTTAAATGTCACTGCAACTTACTGTGGAAGGAAACTCGCTGACAACGGAAAACTGGCTTCCCAGAAGGCACACAGCAAAGTGGTGGGCAAGCTATGTTTGGACGAGAATCACTAACGATAGCGTCCAACTCTTATTTCCAGTTGAATTCCCTAAACCTGATGCTGCTGCGGTTACAGCTTCAAAATATCACCAAACAGAGCTCACTTTCTCTGCCAGCCAGCAAGGGCAGAACAAATAAAATTATTCCATAAAATGTAAACGGACTCAGCAGTGCATTAGCATAACGCATTGAATTCTAGTTTAATAACAAGTTTCTCCTGACATTAGAAACAGCACCCTGACACTGCGGAATAACTATATTTAAACACACTACCCTGCTAGTCTGTGCAACGCCTGTCTCTAACAATTGTGTTTGTTGGAATATTTATGAGACACAGGCAAGGGCTCTATAATTTATCATATTTTAAAATATTGATCTATTCTTTATTACTGAAAGCACAGCACATTATTTCTTCCCAGTTGTGCCTCCTGATAGCGTTTAAAAGGAAATTTACTTTCCTAATTACAATCATTCTGCAGGTCTCAAACGAGTTTCTGCAGCTCGTGATATCAGGGTTACACTTTGGCATTTCAATTCTGTAACAACACACAAAGCTCTTTGCTAAAGATTTGTAAGAGGAACAGAAGGAGACAACTCTCGGCAAATATTAGATTCTGGTACGATATTTCAAGAGCCCGTTTTACACCGAGTGACACTTTAAATGAATTCAAATGGCAGCTAACCCTTATGTTCAAGCAGGAGCTTATGTTCAAGACGTATTTTTAAATGAGAGAGGAATGATCTCATAAATAAAAGAAAATTCAAAGAATAGTTCAAATTCAAAAATTTTACTGACATCCTAAAAATAAATGGGAAAATTAAAATTTGGAATTACTTATCTATTCTTTATTTCACTTTAGACTTCTTTATTTTATGTGGATGGGTGTTTGGCCTGCCTGTATGTGTGTGTGCTCGGAGCCTGAGGAGGCCAGAAGGAAGCTAGATGCCCTGGACCCGGAGCTACAAATGGTTGTGAGCCACCACGTGGGTGCTGAGAACAGAGCCTGGGTCCTCTACAAGAGCAGTCAGCACTTTTCACCCCTGAGCCATCTCTCTAGTGCCCACTTACGTATTCTTTAATCAATGACAGATGCTCTTAGAAGTCCAAGTCCTGGCCGGGCGGTGGTGGCGCACGCCTTTAATCCCAGCACTCGGGAGGCAGAGGCAGGCGGATCTCTGTGAGTTCGAGGCCGGGCTGGACCGATAGCCTCCAAAACAATACAGAGAAACCCTGTCTCGTAAAAACAAAAACAAAACAAAACAAAACAAAACAAAAAAAGAAGTCCAAGTCCTGACTTGCCTGTTAGGACTTTAACCACGTCAGAGACAATAAAATAATTAGTATCACCAGTTTCTCTCATTCATGCAGAACGTTCCCGAGCAACCCCTGCCTTCATCATTCTTTCTTCAAAAACACCGAGTGAAAGCAGACAGTCATTGGTTTGGTGAAGTCCTTCCCGCCCTTCCGTTTGGCGCAATGCTCCACATTGTTAATCCTGCCCAACCTAACTTCTGTGAGCTCTTCTCAAGGTACCCAGCAGCTTTCCAACTACTTGGACAGGTTAGGACACTCAGCCACTGAGGATGGTGGAAATCAGGTTGGGATCTTACGCATCACCATGTTCTAGCAACCTCAGGTTCAGAAGTTGTACACAAAAGCTTAATGCCTTGACCATGGGCACGTAATGGATACGTTGGGGAAAACTCTTTGCCAGCTCACACTCCATTGCCCACAGACTTTCTGCTCACAGTTTTACATACAGAATAAGAGTCCCATCTCTCACTGGGAACTAGAACTATAGTCGGTCTCCAATTATTGTTAATACCTTTGGTTTAGAAAAGTAACAGTTCAACGCAAAATCACACCCTGTCCAAGCTGCAGATTAAGTACTTCAAAGAAAGCTACTTATGATACTTTATTCCATGCCCTCCTCTCCATAACCATTTGGTCTCTATTTATTAATTTCCTTATTTGATCCCAAGCTTGGTTTTGCTAGG